TCAGATCTCGTCTTGATGCCGGACCGGCAAGCGTCCCGAATTCTTGGCCAGTCTCGTGCGGGCTAGGCTTATCGGCGGTAGACGCGCCTGAAGACGTGTGGTATAGCGGGATCCGTGTGGATTCCTGCCTAACTCCGTTTGTGAACTTGGTGCGGATATTCTCTAATCGAGTCTGCCATTCAGCTCGGAATCCATCGGAAACGTTTCTGGGCACACTTGTTCGCCGTAGTATGTTTCTGACAAAACGTACCCACAACTGTGCGCACACATCCGCGGATCAGCTTTACACGTATGCTCACTCAAGCCTCGTGAGATTCCACTTAAAAAGTGACTGTCAAGTGTTGAAATAGGATGACAAAATCCATCTCACGTTTTTTCCTGCCGTTTTTCAGCCTGACTGGCAAGCAACATATCTTCTTGGTTGTATTGCGTCTTAGAAACGCTGTTAATATGAGGGAGGATTCTCTCTTCGAAAGGAAGTCTCAGAACATCGGAGGAACAGCCAACATCCTTTTCCCTATCTTGTTTCGCCGTTTCAACCCACCGTTTAGCCTTCTACTCTTGTAAAACGACGTCCAGTTCCCGCCTGCTCCCGTCAAATTTAACCACCGTGTTTATCAACCAGCACCAAGGAAGCGAGTATACTTTTGTTTTCGTTCAACTTACAAGCCTAAATTCGTTGGCCTTTCGTAGTGACCAGGTTATTCGTGTTTTATGAGCAATTTGCCGTCCAGCTGGTTAAATTTAAGCGAAAGTTCATTGGGTTGCTGCAGTGATTCACCTGATCAGGCGTGCACTGTGGCTCAACTTAGATCCGTAAGTCCTTATGCGCTCAGGAATGTGATAACCGGATGGTCCGAAGATTATCGAGCACACAACCAATTATTCTGTAGTCTGTCGCCTGGACAATTATTGTCTCATATGTTGAAATATAATTGAGAATCGTCCAGCTGTAGCACTCTTTCGTTGCCTAACTGCCATGCCACCCGAAGGTTGCAAGAGGGCTGGGATACTGCCAGGTTGCCCAAGCCTAGACAGAAGAAGTCGAGAGGCAGAGGTCGGATTCGAACCACGGACCTTCCGGTCAGTAAATTCGCGCTCTAACCACTTGGGCACTCTCGCCCCCAATCTCATATGTCCAAATGGAGTGGTATCGCACAAGCAGGCTCTGGCCACTCGGCTGATAAGGTGCATCAGATTGTCGGTCGTGTTTTTATAGTCACTAGACGGACACGCTATATGCTGTGTGCCGCAGTTCCAACTAAGACGCAGGGCTTCCATAGATCAACTCTGGAAGCAGATACTACTTACTTCCAATAAGTCATATATGTGCTACACTAATGCTTGTACTGGAAATCGAAAAAAGTCTGCTGCCGTCGAAAAACCTGTTAGAGGTTGAGGCAACTCGACAGATTCTTTGTGCGAATATGGTGTCGCAACTTTCCGGATAGCATCAAGAGTGTTCTAGGAACAACTGAGTTTATGCATAGCAGGTACAGCTTTTTAAGGGTATTCACACTGCCAACCAGTTAGGCGATCAACTACTAACCGGCAGGTTGGGAGTTTCGTGATGATCCCAACTGAGGACGAAGCTTTCCGCCGTAGGCTAGTCAAACTTTCAAGGGAGTTACCAAATAGCTTTCCTTATGATGACCGTGTAAGATCATTCGCTATTAGTAGGAGGAAGAGGGCCTTCGCTGCGGAGCTATTTACTAGAAAATGTCAACTGACCAGTTACAGACTATTGGACAAGGAGACAAAATTCTCATATGCATCTTGTTTACAAAAACTGAATATCCGTCTTCTCTTGGACGCGTCTTCCTGAACTTTTCTGGATATTCATTGACTGTTACTCTGTTGCAAGCAAACACTACGGAGCGACTCCACAAATTACGTAATGGGTGTTACTTTTCCAGAGACGCAAAGCGGATTTACGAGGGAACCTACTACTCGCATGCCTCCTCATCAGTATTATCACCGTTACACTTGTACCCTAAATATTTTATCGATTAGATGCAACGTGTACGTTCACCTATTCACATGAAGTGAGTTAATATCTGACTGAGTTACTTGGATGCATTTGTGGATAAACACTTTTCCCGAGCAATAGAATTGAAGTTGCCATTGTTTCTCGAGAAATATACTCATTCGCAAATCAATTTGGTTTGCACGAGAGACTCGACTGAATCTCCCGTTTATGCTATTCTACAACTGAATGTGCTGCACACAGGTCGCCTCGTGTTTCAGTTGGCACGATATTCGAGACACCGTAGTACATTTTCACAAAGAAAACTACTCACAAGGTTGCTGAAAACTCTTCGACAGCTCACGTCGGGCTAATCAGGTAGGCGCAGTCCCCAAGAAGGGCGAAACCAGTCGTGAGCTGTCGAAGAGTTTCCAGCAACCTTGTGAGTAGTTTTCTTTGCTATTGCTTCCTTTTTATCACATCGCTCTAACTGCCCAATTCGGAGTAAACTGATTTAAACGTTCCTGTTGCCTATACTGGCCTGTATTTGGACACGTTACATTGTTGCCTGATTATTATATTTTTTCTGAAGCAAACTGGGAATATCCCCAATCCTCGGCTGGAAATACTAGAAGAAGCAAGAAAAGTTAGCACGAAATTGGTAAGTTACCGTTTTATGATTCAGCACTACTTTGAGAATTAGGAGCACTTAGACGTAAAGAAAGTTCGTTGGGAGAGAGAGAGAGAGAGAGAGTAAGTGGCACGCCAGATGCGTTTGAAGTACGACAGCGCAAAGCACCAGCTGATCCGCGTCTCCTTAGGCCACAAAAGGACCACTTGATGTAGGCTGAAAGTTAGCATATCCGTCAACAAAAAACAGATGTCCTCTTCTGAGTGAGAGTGATTCTACTACTCCCTCCTAACACACAGTTTCTGGATCACTTGAAAGATATTCTTCTATGAATCCCAACCCTCACAAACAGGGCTACTAGAAAGGTCAATTTTCGGCCCCGGATCTAGTTTACTCTCACAAGTCCGTTTGGGTCCAAACCCCACCAATAATAGACCGAATTTTTCTGTCTTTGCCCTTCCTATACTTGACCGAGCGTACGTTTAACTAGAGATTGTCAGACTCAGTTTGCATGATTGGTACAAAAACCGCTGTGCGTTTCCGTGTTGGTCTGTAGGAAGCGATTCGTTTTCTAACCTGTGGAGATGACATACTGATAAGCCCAGTCACCACCTACACTAATTATTCTGTTCCATCCGATTTCATTCGCTTTTACCCATGTGAATCAGTTTAAAGGTGCTCCTGCGCTGCGTTTCTGTGCTCAGTGACCAATTTTTCAAAGGAAAAAACCTACTGTGTAGGCTGGAAAATAGTACCACTAAAACACCAGTCCAGTGTTGCACACTGTAACTCACACCTCCGTTCGAACGACTGTCAGGTGACCTGGTATTGTGTGAAACACAACTTATTTTACGGCATTTTCGACAACTAGCTAGCGTCGTTAAAGGAGTACCAGTGTGAGGAAGAAAGTTCTTCCGCCCCCCAGTTGTTTATTAGTAAACACCAACTAAACGGTTACAAACTACTGGACAGGAAAATAAACCTCTCACGTGCACCTTTTTTTAAATTAAACGTCCACACGCGTCTTGAACTTTCGTGGATATTCACTGACTATCGCGCAATTGTAAAGAAACGCTGAAAAACAATTCCACAGGTCAAGTGATAAACTCCACCTTCCACTGGACGCGAGTCGAAGTCACGGGAAACCACATATTACTCATACGCCCCATCCACCGTACCAGTGTGGCAGTAGGCTTCAAAAAAAAGAAAAGAAGCTTGAGATTCACAGGTTTGTGTTTTCTGATATCTGAAACTGGTCTATAGCCCGTAGAAGACCCGGATATGCGCTCACTGATACTGAAATGAGTGGATTGTTTTGGCCAAAACGGTGCGTAAAGATACAAGAACTACTGGAGAACGGTCATCAAGCAAATAAACCTATTATCGCTACCGCGCTAGATTTAACTGACAGGGTTACTTATTGTCTGGTAGTTATATCTGACCGTAGCATGAATAACGCCAGATAAGCAAGCATACACACCGCTCCAAAACGTCCCTGATAAATAGTCAGCCCTATGCGGCCAGGAGAACTGAAAACCCTTGGATCGGTTCTGTTGTACTCATTATAACAAAGTGATGATAACTCAAGAGTAGATAAAGACACATTTCAGCTGGACTATACATTCTGATACAATCGTGATACAGTCAATTAAAG